GGCTAGACGAGCACTAGACGAGCACTAGACGAGCACTTGCACTAGACGAGCACTAGACGGGCACTAGACGAGCACTAGACGGGCACTAGACGAGCACTAGACGAGCGCTAGACGAGCACTAGACGGGCACTAGAGCGCTAGACGGGCACTAGACGAGCACTAGACGGGCACTAGACGAGCGCTAGACGGGCACAGACGAGCGCTGGACGGGCGCTAGACGAGCACTAGACGGGAATTAGGCGAGCGCTGGACGAGCGCTACACGAGCACTAGACGAGCACTAGACGAGCACTAGACGGGCACTAGACGAGCACTAGACGGGCACAAGACGAGCACTAGACGAGAACGAGACACTACACAGAGCACTAGACGAGCACCAGACGGCACTAGACGAGCGCTAGACGGGCACTAGACGAGCACTAGGGCACTAGACGAGCGCTAGACGGGCACTAGACGAGCACTAGACGAGCGCTAGACGAGCACTAGACGGGCTAAACGAGCACTAGACGAGCACTAGACGAGCACTAGACGGGCACTAGACGAGCACTAGACGAGCACTAGACGGGCACTAGACGACACTAGACGGGCACTAAGCGAGCACTAGACGAGCACTAGACGAGCACTAGACGGACACCAGACGAGCACTAGACGGGCACTAGACGAGCACTAGACGGGCACTAGACGAGCACTAGACGGGCACTAGACGAGCACTAGACGGGCACTAGACGAGCGCTAGACGGGCACTAGACGAGCACTAGACGGGCGCTAGACGAGCGCTAGACGGGCACTAGACGGGCGCTAGACGAGCACTAGACGGGCACTAGACAAGCACTAGACGGGCACCAGACGAGCGCTAGACGGGCGCTAGACGAGCACTAGACGGGCACTAGACGAGCACTAGACGGGCACTAGACGAGCACTAGACGGGCACTAGACGAGCACTAGACGGGCGCTAGACAAGCGCTAGACGGGCACTAGACGAGCACTAGACGGGCAGCACTAGACGAGCACTAGACGAGCACTAGACGGGGACGAGCGCTAGACGAGCACTAGACGAGCACTAGACGGGCACTAGACGAGCGCTAGACGAGCACTAGACGAGCACTAGACGGGCACTAGACGGGCGCTAGACGAGAACGAGACACTAAACAGGGCATTGGACGAGCACTAGACAAGCACTAGACGGGCACTAGACGAGCACTAGACGGGCACTAGACGAGCACTAGGGCACTAGACGAGCGCTAGACGGGCGCTAGACGAGCACTAGACGGGCACTAGACGAGCACTAGACGAGCACTAGACGAGCACTAGACGGGCTAGTCGGCACTAGCACAGAGCACTAGTACGAGCACTAGAACGGCGGCACCTAGACAAGCTTTGACGAGCACTTACACGAGGCACCATAGACGAGCACTAGACGGGATCTAGACGAGCATAGACGGACGAGCAGTTACGAGCACTAGACGGGCACTAGAATGCGACCTAGACGGGACACTAGACGGCACATAGACGGACTAAGGACGAGGCGCTAGACGGGCACAGACGAGCGCCAGGAAGGGCGCTTAGACGGGGCGCTAGAACGAGCACTAGGACGATGCGCTGGACGGAGCGCTATAGACGAGAACTAGACACTAGACGAGCACTAGACGGGCACTAGACGAGCACTAGACGGGCACTAGACGAGCACTAGACGGGCGCTAGACAAGCGCTAGACGGGCACTAGACGAGCACTAGACGGGCAGCACTAGACCACTAGACGAGCACTAGACGAACACTAGACGGGCACTAGACGAGCACTAGACGAGCAGTAATGAGCACTAGACGGGGACGAGCATTAGACGAGCACTAGACGAGCACTAGACGAGCACTGGACGGGCACTGGACGAGCGCTAGACGGGCACCAGACGAGACGAGCACTAGACGGGCACTAGACGAGCACTAGACGGGCACTAGACGAGCACTAGACGGGCGCTAGACGAGCGCTAGACGGGCACTAGACGAGCGCTAGACGAGCACTAGACGGGCACTAGACGAGCACTCTAGTCGGGCACTAGACGAGCGCTAGACGGGCACTAGACGAGCACTAGACGGGCACTAGACGAGCACTAGACGGGCACTAGACGAGCACTAGACGGGCACTAGACGAGCACTAGACGGCACTAGAGCGCTAGACGGGCACTAGACGAGCGCTAGACGGGCGCCAGACGAGCACTAGACGGGCACTAGAGGAGCACTAGACGAGCACTAGACGGGCACTGGACGAGCGCTGGGAGCGCCAGAAGGCTCTAGGGAGGGCACAACCCCGGAAATTCCCGGAAAATTTCCGGGGATAGAAGAGCTCTAGACGGGCGCTGGACGGAGCACTAGACGAGCACTAGATGGAGCACTAGACGAGCGCTAGACGAGCGCGAGACGAGCGCCAGACGAGCACTAGACAAGCACTAGACAAGAGGCTCTAGGGAGGGCACAACGCCGGAAATTTCCGGAAAATTTCCGGGGATAGAAGAGAGACGGGCGCTGGACGCAGCACTGGACGAGCGCTAGATGGAGCACTAGACGAGCGCTAGACGAGCGCTAGACGAGCACCAGACGAGCACTAGACAGGCTGTCTAGTGCTCGTCTAGTGCTCGTTTAGTGCCCGTCAATTCCCAGGCCAGGCCCAAAATGTTCCTTTTGGAGCTCCAAATGGCGAACTCTTTCCGTTTCAGCAAAAATGTGTAATTTTTATATAAACTCTAGTAAAGAACGGTCATTTCCAGGGTCAGCTCCAAAATGTCGCCTTTGGAGCTCCAAATCACAAATTCTTTGCATTTGAGCCAAGAGACTTGCCATTTCCATGGCCGGCTCCAAAATGTCGCTTTTGGAGCTCCAAATCACAAATTCTTTGCATTTGAGCCAAGAGACTTGCCATTTCCATGGCCGGCTCCAAAATGTCGCTTTTGGAGCTCCAAATGGGAACTTCTCTACATTTGAGCCAAAATGTGTCCAAACCTAAAAACTATAAACCTAAATCCTAAACCTAAAATCCTAAGCCGAAATCCGAAACCTAAACCCTAAACCTAAACTCCTATATCTAAAAACCCTAAGCCTAAATCCTAAACCTAAACCGAACCTAAATCCTGAACCTAAATCCTAGACCTAAATCCGTGGCCTCTCAAAGGCACCCCGCCAGCAGGAACCCTAAAAGACCCGCCAGCAGGAACCCTAAACGGCGCCCCGCCAGCAGGAACCCGGAAAGACATCCCCCCAGCAGGAACCCTAAAAGGAATCCCGCCAGCAGGAACACTAAAAGGCGCCAACCCTAAACCTAAATCCTAAACCTAAAAACCCTAAGCCCAAATCCTAGACCTCAAAACCCTAAACCTAAATCCTAAACCTAAATCCTAAACCTAAAAACCCTAGGCCTAAATCCTAAACCTAAACCTACATCCTAAACCTAAAAACCATAAAACCTCAAAACCTAGACCCAAACCCTAGACCTAATTCCTAAACCCTAAACCCTAAACCCTGAACCCTAAACCTAACAATCCTAAATCTAAACAACCGTAAACCTATAAACCGTAAACCTAAAAATCCTAAACCTAAATCCTAAACCTAAAACCTTAAACCTAAAAGCCCTGAGCCTAAATCCTAAACCAAATTCCTAAACCTAAGTCTTCCACCTAAATCCTAGACCTCAAAACCCTAAACCCTAAACCTAAATCCCAGACCTAACTCCGTGACCCCCCAAAAGAGGAAAAGCAACCTGAGAACGTCAAAAGCAGGAAAAGCAACCAACAAGGTCTGGAAGCCTGTTTTAGTGCGCATATGCTTGTGGATCGACATGCGTATAGACGCGCCATGACGCGCCTATATACATTGTAAACGCTTCGCGTTGCCCGCCTCGGCCAGTCCACTTGTGGCTGGCTTTGAGGTAAATATACCGTGCTTTAGTTTGCCTTGAAGTGTTGTTATTAAAGTGAGTGAGTCGGCGCCGAAATGCGTGAGCCTGTTTCCAAGCTAGAGGGTGGGTGCATGTCAGCGGCTTGAAGGGCCAGAACAAGAGCCACAGAGAGCTACAGAACGGTGGGCCAAGCGTAGGTCCAAATTTCTAGAGGGGGATTTTGCCGGTTCTAAGGGGGGTCGACGGGAGTTGGGCCTGTTTTCAGAGGGGATTTGACAGGTTTCTAGAGGGGAGTTTGACCCGTTTCTAAGGTTCTTAGAGGGGATTTGATAGGTTTCTGAAAGGGAATTTGTTTTAAGGGGAATTTGGCCGGAGGGATTTGACGGGAAGTTGACCGGTTTCTATCGGCTTCTAGAAGGGGATTTGACGTGTTTGGGAATTAGATCAAGGAGAAGCAAGATCCTTGTCAAGTTGACCGAAGGGGTCTGACCGCTTCCCGGCCCTGGGGGCCGAGGCGAATATATTTACGCGCGTGGGCAGCCAAGCATAGGAGGTTTCCCGTCGGAGGTGGCAGAAGACGCAAGGAGCGATGAGGCTTTTCAAAATGAGACCAACTACAAGACCTAAAGCCAAATTCGCGCCTGGGTGGTGCCCGATTGCTAATGCAACTTTGGGACAGTCTCGCTACCCTCAGCAAGATGCATGCTAATGCCGCCGCGTTAAGGTGCTTTTGGCCTTGATGTTCGCCCTGCTTGGACGCTGGGCTGCAGTGTTGGCAAAACCGGAAGAGGTGAGTTGCTTTGCCTAAGTTATCATGGGGAGGTCAAGCTTTGACAATCGCGTGCCCGTTGGATGGCGGTCATCCCAGGCCAGCAGCGATTTGTTTCTTTGTCGCCCTCAGCCGCGCTGGCTGACAGTGCCGAGACTCAGCAGCATGAATGGCAAATGCAAGTCTGTTTGGCTGTGTGCTTGAGGTCCCCTCCTGGGCGGGGGTTGTTGTTGAGCTCGCATTCGTGCACCTGCTTAGGACTGGCATGCAGTCGGATTCAATAGCCGCACCTTAAGGCGGGCACCCGGGCCAAGTGGATGCTAGAGTCTTAGAGTCTTGACCTGTGGGCAAATGAAATTGGCTCAAAAGGCCGGTTTTGAAGGGAAGCGGTGGGGGGCTGCTTTGCCTCGTGCCGTCCAGGCGGCCCTGGCCTATGCGAAGAGAAGCTCGCAAGATGCTTGGTCATCGGAGTGCGTGACCGGATGTGACCGGTCACATTTCCGCCTGGTCACCTTCTGGCTGCTCCCAGCGCCTGATCAAGTTTTTCACCTGACTGTCCGAGTTTTGTCCTCTGAAAAGCAGATCTGAGTCTTCCATGGGCTCCCTTTCGCTCACAGTGGTGGTTCCAGGGCAATCAGTTTTCACTGGCATGCCATGCGTGCCGAGCAAAATGCTGCTCCGTGTCACCGGAAAAGTGTGCGTTCCTTGGCGAGACGTTGACGTTGCAAACGTATTTTGACTGTTGCAACATACGCACGCACACAATATATGTATATGTATATATACTTTTCACATATATATATATATATGCACATATGTAATGTTCGGAAATTGTCCGCGGCCAGGAGGTGCCGTATATGGCGACATCCAAGGCTGGGGCTGTGTGAGCCCAGTTTCAGCGTGCAATCTCCATGCTGCTGCTGCAGGGCCCCTGCAGCAGCTGCGGAGCAATGAGCGCTCCCGATGCCCTCTTCTGCTTTGGGCCCAGGTACAGGCGTTGATGGCTTGATGCCTTCGCCTTCAAATTGGATGGGAGATTTGCAAGGGGACAATTGCCATGATATTCCTCGACGTTGAGGAACTGCTTGTTGGTGTGTAAGACTGTTTTGAAGGGCCGACTTGGATTGCGGACTTTGCAGACGTTGGAGGTCTTCATAGGATGTCAGGCTCAGCGAAAGACGAAAGCGCTCTGACAGTCTGAGGTCATCGCTGCGGCCAGGAGATTTGTTTCGTCTCTGCAAACGGGCGGATTGGTGGGGGATGGCTTTTGCCAGGATTGCCAGGATTCCGGCGTGGACTTCAATGAGGCGCCGCCGGCTGGGATGCTGAAGCTTGCCTCAGAGAACACTGGCAAAGGCTCCAGCTGCAGTGAGTATTGAAGGACCTGCTTCCTGAAACTTAAGTGGCAGATGAGTGGGGGTGGGACTTCCTTTTTATTGCAAGCTGAGTATTTGATGAGTGGCTTGTGATGTGAGGCACTGCCAAAGCCCAACTTTACAACCATAGAGCTTTGAACGGAGGCTGTATTGGAAGATGGGATCACCGTTCGCAATTTCAGCTCAAACGAACACATGCTGACGGCACTGTTAAGCATGTCATGGCAGCATGCCCCTTGGCACTATCAATTTGAAGCGATGACTGAAATGGCTTGGCTTCAGAAAGGTAGCGCTATTTGATTGCTATGTACTTGGTGGACGGCTTGCCTAGGTGTGATTCACCTACCGTGTGGCAAGACAGGCCATGGAAATGCAATCGGGGCTTTGATGCGGCCTCTGACTCACTTGGCAATGTCCATGTTTCAAGTAAAGTGGCAGACGGGGTGAAGGCAAGCTTCAACGCGCGCAATCTCTCATGAAAGGCGTGTGTTTGTGAACCCCCCCTTTCTCGCCCATGCAGGCTGGATCCTTCTGCCGCCAAGGAGGTCACAACGTGTCTTCGGCTTGTGAGCTTGCGTTGTCCAGCTCATGTCTCATCTCTACAGAACTGCCCAAGTTCAGGCATGTATTTGATTATGTGCAAACCAGCCGCCCAGGAAAGAGCTCGGGATCAGTGGTGCTAAGTCGGATGGAGCAGTTGCAAAGCAAGGCCTGGTTTGAGCCCTCCAGGGCAGGCAATGCCTGGAATTGCCAGGCTTCCTCCACGAGCTCTCAGATCAAATTGCAGCAGCTCTTCGCAATCATGCAGCCTCACTGCACAGGCAGCTGGAGACACTGCTTCATGGCAGCATTGGGGCTGTTCCAAGTCTGTTTGGCGCTTGACCTCAACTGTTGCTTCTGTTGCTTTGCAGCGCACGGGACCTGAGGCTGGTGGAGCAAGAGCTGCTCGCCAGGAAAGCTGAGGAAAAGATAGCGCCTTGCCAGGAAAGCTGAGGGTTCGCCCGTAGTTCCGGCCAGCAATCGCATCGCATGGCTTCTCTAAGGAGTTCATGGTGCGTGCAGCAATGGATGCCCCCGGCCCAAGCTGCTGGGATGCAATCAAGGCTGCGCAGTGGGTTGTTGGAGCTGGGCGCTTTCTTCAAAGAAGGCTCGCGCTTGGTCGCGAGGGGTCTGAACAGCCGCGCGCTGACATCAAAGTGGTAAGAGAGGTTTTGCGGAATCCCGCGTTCGGCTGGTGCCACGCTCGCGCTCCGAGGCAATGCCATGGACTTCGGAGGCCTTCCAGGTGAGGTCTGGCATGAGCCGCAGCCTCAGCCCACGTTTCCTACGTGGGGAGGCACTTGGCAAAAAATGGCCAGATCCAGGCCCACAGTGGAGCCAGCCATCGAGCCAGTCACTCCACCAGCCGCCATCGAGCCGATCGCGCCACCCCGCGATGAGTTTGTGCCATGGTTCAAAAGGATCTGCACCGACTCTTTTCACCCCTCCTTCTTAGCCATAGCTGGCTGTTTCAGAGGGCAAGACGAAAGCCCCATTTTCAAGGAATTCTCTACCCAATCGTAGCTGTATTCCAAAGCCTGTCGAGCTTTTGTCGCTGGCCCAGGTTTCGCTGACGACTGGCAAGGATGTATTGGGGACGTGCGATGGAGGGCTTTCGCCTTGCGCCCAGCACATCTTGCAACAGGTCGCGCGGTCACCATTTGCATGTGACACAATGTGAGTGGAGGTGAGCATGTCGACTGTTGAAGCAGCAATGCATTTGAAGCAGCTCCAAGCAAACAACAGAAGCAGACCTAAGTTTGCCTGCCGGCATAGCGCTTGAAATGGGGCCCTCTTCCTTCCAAGCGAAACCATTTTGTATAAGGGGAATGGAAAACACCTGGCACATAAACTGAAAGAACAGAATAGGAACAGCCTAGGCTCAATGATTCGGCTTCGGCCATCCTCGCTGCGATCCCTTCCATGCTCCAGTGACATGGCACAAGCATGGTGACCGGCTTTGGTTTTGCCATCGCGGTTGCACAAGGGCCCCCTACCAAAGTTTCACAGGGCGTGTGATTCAACATGACCTGCTTGTTTCAGTCAGAGCATTTTGGACCACCAAGCCCCGCTACTTGAGCAGGGTGGAAGGGTTCAGTCTTGCCATTGGCTGCGATTCAGCAACCTGCGCATCTTAGGTCTTCTTTGCACGAACAAGAGCAGTGGCACAGCAGCTGCTTGCAGAGCCTTGGCTGTCATACTGTGCCAAGAAGAATCAAGTGCAGATTTCAGCTTTCAAGTCAAGATGCTGAGCAAGCGAACTTGGTTTGGTGCACCTAGGAATTGGACATCCCGACAAGATGCGCGGAGAGAGCAGGCCACTGATTGCCCCCAAGGGCGCGAGCCATACATTTGGCGCCAGGCCTGCGATTTGCTGGGAAGTCTACTTCGGAAGGAAGTGCCGCTGAGGCGAAGTGCTAGCAGCGAAAAAGGCTGGACAAGCATTCCAAGCAGTTCTCGGGACAAGCGAAGCCATGCGCCACAGGTCTCAGCCGCTTCGGCAGTGGCGATACGTTGCCCAGTGCCGACATCACAGAGGCTCACCTCAACTCACCTCCATTTGCTGCATTGTGTTGGTGCGTGTTGTGCGGATTCACGGCGGCAATTCCTGCCCTTCCACCCAATTTTCGGAGTTGCACCCCAGCACCAGCCTGGTTTGCGTGTGTGTGTGTGTGTGTGTACGTGTGTGTGTGTGTGTGTGTGTGTGTGTGTGTGTGTGTGTTTGTTTGTGTGTTTGTTTGTGTGTTTGATTTGTGTGTTTGTGTGTTTGATTTGTGTGTTTGTGTGTTTGTGTGCGTGTGTGCGTGTGCGCGTGTGTGCGTGTGCGAATGTGCGCGTGTGCGCGTGTGCGTGTGCGCGTGTGCGCGTGTGCGTTTGCGTGTGCGTGTGCGTGTCCGTGTCCGTGTCCGTGTCCGTGTGCGTGCGCGCGCGCGCGCGCGTGCGCGTGCGCGTGCGCGTGCGCGTGCGCGTGGGCGTGCGCGTGGGCGTGGGCGTGGGCGTGGGCGTGTGCGTGTGCGTGTGCGTGTGCGTGTGCGTGTGCGTGTGCGTGTGGGTGTGTGTGTGTGTGTGTGTGTCTGTCTGTCTGTCTGTCTGTCTGTCTGTGTGTGTGTGTGTGTGTGTTTGTGTCTGTGTGTGTGTGTGTGTCTGTGTCTGTGTCTGTGTGTGTGTGTGTCTCTGTGTGCGTGTGTGTGTCTCTGTGTGTGTGTGTGTGTCTGTGTGTGTGTGTTTGTGTGTTTGTGTCTGTGTGTGTGTCTCTGTGTTTGTGTGTGTGTGTGTTTGCGTGTCTGTATGTTTGTGTGTGTGTGTTTGTGTCTGTGTGTGTGTGTGTGTGTCTGTGTCTGTGTGTGTCTGTGTGTGTCTGTGTCTGTGTGTGTGTGTGCGTGTCTGTGTGTGTGTGTGCGTGCGCGTGCGCGTGTGTGTGTCTGCGTGTGTCTCTGTGTGTGCGTGTGCGTGTGTGTCTGCGTGTGTCTCTGTGTGTGCGTGTGCGTGTGCGTGCGCGTGTGTCTCTGTGTGTGCATGAGCGTGTTTGCGTGTTTGCGTGTCTGCGTGTCTGCGTGTCTGCGTGTGTGCGTGTCTGCGTGTCTGCGTGTCTGCGTGTCTGCGTTTTTGCGTGCCTGCGTGTCTGCGTGTCTGCGTGTCTGCGTGTCTGCGTGTCTGCGCGTCTGCGTGTGTGTGTGTGTGTGTGTGGGTGTGTGTGTGTGTGTCTGTGTGTCTGTGTGTGTGTTTGCGTGTCTGCATGTTTGTGTTTGTGTGTGTTTGTGTCTGTGTGTGTGTGTGTGTCTGTGTCTGTGTGTGTCTGTGCGTGTGTGTCTGTATGTCTGTGTTTGTGTCTGTGTCTGTGTCTTTGTCTCTGGCTGTGCCTGTGTGTGTGCAGGTGCCAATGTCGCCATCTCCACAGGCCGGCATTCGGGAAGCTACAAAGTCAAAGATTGCTTTGCACATAGCCGTCATAGCCCATTGGCGCCCCATCTTGCAACGAGGTTTTTTTCAGACAGGCCGCAAAATGGGGCAGGGTGGGCAGCGTGGGGTGGGGTGCATGCTCGTGACTTCCTTCGGAGGCAAAGTGCCCAAATCCTTTGTCCACGCTGGAGTCGACCACCTTTGAAGTCGCCACAACGCTTCAGCTGCATACGCCAACATCACCAGCGCCTCCCAAGCGGTCGTGGTTCCCAGCCACTGGGACAGAAAGCTTAAACGCAACACATTTGCTTTGTGTTATGTTTGCTGCCTGCTGCTCCTGTCAACTTATCAGCAATCTCGGCGAAGCTACTTGTGCCTTGTGCATGGCTTTAGCCAGCCTAGGTGTTGGATCCCCCAAACTGCCGGCGAAGCGGCTGCTCGGATTTCATGAGATGTGCGCCCAAGGTACAATTTATCTTTGTGCCAAGGTTTCCTCCTCTTGGAGGACTCCAGCCACTACCTACTTGGAATCCTGGCCTTGCTGTGGATAGGCTAACAGATCACACATCTTTGCGCGCTGTCCGAATCGTGCGCATCGAAACCAAACCAGAATGCATGGATTTCAGCAGATGGCACGCCAAGGACGCATCATCTCCGGCTTCATGTTCACCGTTATCATGGTGAGCACGGCAGGGCTCTTAGGCTTCAAACTGCGGCCTTCCTGCGGTTGTCCGGCGGCTTGCTAGGTCTCCTTCGTCGTGGAGACTTTGCCGCTCTTTGGTTGCAGATGTTGCTGCTGCCTTCTTGAATCGCTGGATTTTCCTTGGTTGCATCTGGGAAAAGGATTTTGGATGCCAGCTGGCGGCTGGGTGGAAACGATGTTGACAGTGCTCCCTGCCCCGTAGGTCGATGCAGGAGCGGCCAGGCGAGTGTGCCGAGCTGTTAGCTGCAGGGGAGGCGCTCACTGTGGAGGCTTGCGAGCCAGTGACTTGGCCATTGGGCAAGTGCTTCGGGGTCAGGTGCAGCGAGCAAGTGGTGTCAACACGGCTTTGGACACATTGCCCTTTGTGCAAGTACTTTCGAGCCAAGAGTGGTGCCATTCCGCTGTGGCGCGTGTCGGGCAGGACGTTTGGATGCGTGGGAAAAACATGTTGCAGCAAAGGTTCCATGGGCAATCTTCTCAACCTTGGAGGCCATATGTATTGCAGCTGAGCTTGCAATTTCGCAATTCGTGGGATTTCAACCGTGCAAGCTGGTTCGTGGCCGAGGTTATTTTTACACTGGAATATGTGTTAAGACTCTCGCTTTGTCACACTGACGCACGATATGGGAGTAGCTACTTGTCGCGGACATTTCACTATGCAGCTGCTCGGCTTGCATTTGTCGCAATAGCTCAGGGATTCTTTGGCTTCGTTCTTTCAACCTGGGCAGATGAGAAAGATGCATGCCGGCATGTCGTCATTCCAGTGCCTGCTTGTGCCGAGATTCAACCTTTGAACGTCATAGATGTCGTTGCCGTTCTCCCTTTCTACTTGAAGCTGTCACTGGAATGGAGCAACATCGGTGTCCTGAGTGCCTTACTTGCAAGCTTTGTGAGTGTTAGCTGCAAGCATCACATGGTCTTGTTTGCTTTTGCCGTATTTGCTGTGCGCTGAGCGGGGTTTCCTGCTTGAACCATGGCGCTAACCTTTGACATGTTTGGTAGTGCCAGATTCCTGTCAGATGTTCGGCTGCTTTAAACTTTACTGCGTAGCCTAATTGAGAGTTCAGTTTGGGCACGAAGCACTCTGGCTTAAAGCAAGTTGACTGACGCGAGTAAAAACAGGTTAACAATCTCACTGAGGCATGCTGCGCTTGATGCGAGTATGCCGGCTGCTGAAGCTGGCCAAGCATCACAAAGGCAGGAGTCGGATTTTGCCGTCTATGGAACGCATTCTCAGTTCTTGCCCGCATGTCAGTTGGACTCCTGGTCACCTTGATAAAAGTGGTGTTAGTCGCAGACCTGTGAGGCATCATGATTTGTGTTTGCCTTAGTTTCTTCCGCGTGCTCCGCCGCTCATGTCATGTGCATGTCTTTGTTGAGTGAAGTGGGCTCCCCTCAGTCTTGTCAAGCCTGAGGCTGGGAGGCCTTGGTTCATAGTGGCCTACCTTTGGCCCTTCTCTTCTTCTATGATGTGCTCTTTGGAAGCTGCACTGCATTGGTGCTGCCATTGCTCACGATCAGACAGCAAGAAGCTTTTTTGGGCACCTTGGTTGTTTGTCAAGGACACATGAAGGGCACCAGTCTTTTTGAAGTATGGCTCCGCGCCGAGGAATCATCTTTGCGACCATCATGCACACGCTGGAAGGCCGGCTTGCAAATTTGACCAAAGGAAGTTTGGAAGGCACTTCCGTTTTACGGTAGATACATCGGTGGACAGAAGAGAAGCGAGAGAGATAGAAAGAAAGATGGGAGAGAAAGAGAGAAAAGAGAAACAGCAGACAAACGATAGTTCCTCTCCTTTTTCTTCAAACTTCCGCCAGCCGTCTTCGCTGGCTCTACTGGTATATTTCATGCCCATGCGAGCCTAGCTGGTTACAGGGATGCACGGCTCACAAGTGAATGTGTTTGCAGCTTCGACTTGGTTAGCCTTGTCAGGCAGCACCTATTCGGTGGCACCGGAGTTCACGGACCCTTACCTACATGCGAGAACAGGCGCTTCTTACGAGAGCCATAACTCGGAAACCACGACGTGGCAGCTTTGAAACGGCGCAGGCAAGCAAATGCCGCCCAAATATCCTACAGGCCCAGAGCTGCAGCATAGACATGGCTGTGGGTCAAAACCAATGGTGCCATTTTGGGGACCACCCATTCTAGTCTATTTTAGTGGGGATTGGGATGTTCACTGGGGGTACGGGATTTTGACCCATGGCCACATGTGGACTGACCATTTTGCCTATGTTGCAATCTGGAATGCATTGCTCGCTTCTCCAGGTGTCTTTGTGCGCCCGGATATTCGGAATGCCGGGGTTGAGCCATCGCCCTTCTTTTCGATTCCAGCGGCTCTTTGGTCCTTCGCTTGGATCAGTTTTCCAGTTCAGAGATCAGAGCCTGTTTGTACTGTGGGCCGGCGAGTGAGAAAATTGAGCGAGGTGGGTCTTCACTACCACCACGACAGTGGGTTATGGCGACTTCGCTCCTACGACCACATTCGGACAGTGCCTGGGCACCTTGTCTGCCTTGAGCTCCGCGTCTCAGGCTCAGGAGACAAGTTACGAGGGTTTAGATGCGCCACCTGTTGAACATGTGAGTGAGCGAGCGGGGTACTAGGACTTCCTTGAAAGGCCTTGCATAGACCTGTCATCACTATTGCATGTGGACCACCTGCCTCGGATGGAGTATGGGGGTGCTGCTAGCTACGTTGAACCTCGCGCATGTGTTTACACAGGGTAGCATGACTTGTGGCTGCGCGCCAAACCTTCCACGCAACTTCACTCCACCTTCATTTGTTTTAAATAGATTTCAATGGACGACTGATCTAGCATACGCATCTAGCCCAGCCTGAGTCAGCTTGTAGAGGCGCGCAGCGAAAGCCATCAACCAGACTGCATCTCTAGCACCGCAACAGCGCAAGACGCTTCTCAGACAGCCATGAAACACGGCAGCGCCCCCAAAACGACGGCTTTTGGAGTGCGAGGCGTGGTGGTATTCTACTTTGGCATCATTCTGCTTGCCTTGCCGATTGGTAGCTTGGAAGCAGACGTGATGCAAGAGATGCCCTTGACTGATGATTCCGTCAGCCGTTGTCAGCCGTTGTCAGCCGTTGTCAGCCGTTGTCAGCCGTTGTCAGCCGTTGTGAAGTGATGGGAAGTGGAAAGCAGAGCTCAGAGTGTCAGAGACTTAGGTGTAGTAAGCTCAAATTTCGAGCATGCCTATGAAAAGCATCAGGCGGGGGCAAGGAGCTATTCCTGGCTAAACGTTCGAGAGGTGAGTTCGCAACGAATGGCACCGGCAAGGGAGGCAGAACTTGTGAGCACCTGCCCAGGGGACAAGACGGCGACGGCAATCCTTCCTGACCGGGACGCTCTCAACGTCCGACCAGCCATTTGGCTGATGGCGCAATGCGCGTCCCAGGTGCACTTTGGTGCACTTCTTGTGTTTCGTGGGGCAAGGCGTCGGGTGAGCATGAGAGCCTCCGGTGACATGGCTTGGCTGCCGCCCAGTAAGAGCAGCTGCCGCCGCATGGCAGAATGGCCTGAGTGGCTCGCAAACATACCCCGCATGTTATTGTTGAGAAGGGTATTGTTTTCCTGGGTGCTTTCCCTTGAGGAAGAGGCTGCTTCATTGTGGCTTGGCTGTATAAGTGCGAAAGACGTGTCTTGCGCGGGTAAGCAGTGGCATGCAACAAAAACAGCCCAGCGGTGACACGCCGTGATATGTCGTGATGAGGTGATGAACGATCCGAACTCGAGTGTTCTGGCCACGGGCCTATCCTATATCAGCTTCGCCTTGATTACTGTGACGACTGTCTCGTCGATCCTGGAGTCTCTTCTGAAAACGCGTGAATGATGTTTCGATTTTGAAATGGCAGTCAGCAAGCTGTGCAGTGCCCGTTGCAGGGTAAGTGCCAAAAACAGCTCTCAGGAATCTATGCCAGTCTTCAGCTACACGCCTGAGGGCTGTCTAACCGTGGAGCTGAGCGCCTTGCGCGAATTCCAGCCTTTGTAGTGCTTGGATTGCGATGTTGTAGCCAAAGCCGATTTCAGCTGCAATTGAGGCGTGGAGATGTGCCAGCCACAGCCGGATCCAATTTTCGAGCAAATCGAAGTTATAGGCACCCGGGCAGCACATGGCTGGCCTGAGGCGCTGGTTCCGTGCCGGGAGCTTTGACCAAGGCACCATCTTCTTCACGGTGGAATACGCAGCTTGCCCAAACAGAGCCCTTGCTCAGCATGCGACTCTGCGACCGCGCGCCCCGCAGATAGTCGCTGGGAATGCGGGATCAATTTCCAAGCAACTTTTCAAAGCATCGTTGAGTTTAGGAAGCCGTGCCAGGTGCGCGTGTGCATGCTTTTTGTGCCGGTGCCGCACCCTGCGCTTGCAGCATTTTTTGGCATGTTCAACAGGCGCGACATGTTTCAGCGCACTGCGCGCGGCGGCGCATACTTTGCGCAAGTGGGAATCCACGCTCAAGTAAACACCCGCACAACGCTCCATGCTCGCACCACAACGTGGAGAACAAGAGCATGTTTCACATGCTCGGCAAACTTTGCAAGAAGGCCTGAAAACAAGAAGCGCTGCGACCGAGGGCGCCGACCCCAATCTGAACACATGTTAGATAACGGAACAATGCATGTATGCATACATACATATTATGGTTTTATGTGTAGGTATGAGGGTCGTCCGAAAGGTCCTCGTATGGAGCTATGAACGGGAAGACCTTTTGGTCTTAGCGTTGACCTCCGCGAAAGTTCCGCGAAGGGGGTCGCGAAAGTTATTTTTCTTTCCGCAAAAGTTTTGTGTAAGGGTGGCTTGCTATAACAGGAAGCTGGAATGATGAACCGTGTGTATTTTACCGGCGGCGCGCACAGAATGCCCAGCCTGAGGGTCGCCGCAAGACACGCCGCTCAAAAAGCAACCCCGAGCCAGCAGAAACCAGCTCCTGGGAGTTTTGAAGCTTTCGGGGCAAGTTGAGCGCAACTTCCAGCCGGATTTTCGCGAATGTTTGGCGTAAGATCCGCGAAAGTTTTGCGAAAGTCGACGGACCCCGCCAGTTTCCGGACATGAGGCCAACGGGTCCTCTCGTGTGTTTAGCTCACGGCTTGTGAGCTAATGTTGGCACTTGATTAATAAAGGCCCCCCCCCCTGAACAATGGAGGCGCTGGAACAATGCAGCCTCACTTTTGGGACGTCCAAACAATGGAGGATTTTGGGGCCCAATTCTACTTTAGTATTGCAGCCACTTCCTTTTTGCAATTCTACTTTAGTATTGCAGCCACTTTTTTTTTTTTGCAATTCTACTATAGTATTGCACAGTTCTACTTTAGTATTGCAGCCACTTCCTTTTTGCAATTCTACTTTATTGCAGCCACTTCCTTTTTGCAATTCTACTTTAGTATTGCCACTTCCTTTTTGCAATTCTACTTGAGTATTACAGCCACTTCCCTTTTTGGGAGCGCTTTTAAGCAAGTGGCGACCAATTGAAAGGGGAGTGTTTTTAAGTAAGTGGGCCACCAATTAAAAGGGGAATGTTTTTTAGTAAGGCAACTGACAGTTTATTTTCTGGAGGGGGCTGGGGGCTTGCAACAAATGTGGTCCCCCAAAAGAATGCCATTGTTGTGGTTCGGGTACCATTGTCCTGACTGTTGTTTTCATGTTTTAAACACGGTTTAATAAAGAGTTTGCAGTTTCAGGGCTGGGGATGGTTTTCAAATTTCACAGGTTTCAGCTGGCTTTGGGTTTTGTGTTTGAGCAACCATTTAAAAGGGGAATGCTTTTAAGCAAATGGGCGACCAATTGAAAGGGGAGTGAGTGCTTTTAAGTAAGTGGGCCACCAATTAACATTGGAATGCTTTGAGTAAAGCAACTGACAATTTATTTTCTGGAGGAGGCTGGGGGCTTGCAACTAATGTGGTCCTCCTAAAGAATGCCATTGTTGTGGTTCAGTGGAGTCTGTGAGGGGCACCCTTGTCCTGATTGTTGTTTTCATGTTTTGGACACGGTTTAATAAAGAGTTTGCAGTTTCAGGGCTGGGGGTGGTTTTCAAATTTCAGAGGTTTCAGCTGGCTTTGGGCTTTGTGTTTGGGCAACCAATTAAAAGGGGAATGCTTTTAAGCAAGTGGGCGACCAATTGAAAGGGGAGTGCTTTTAAGTAAGTGGGCCACCAAGTAGAAGGGGAATGTTTTTTAGTAAGGCAACTGACAGGTTATTTTCTGGAGGAGGCTGGGGGCTTGAAACTAATGTAGTCCTCCTAAAGAATGCAACTGTTGTGGTTCAGTGGAGTCTGTGAGGGGTACCCTTGTCCTGACTGTTGTTTTCATGTTTTAGACACGGTTTAATAAAGAGTTTGCAGTTTCAGGGCTGGTGGTGGTTTTCAAATTTCAGAGGTTTCAGCTGGCTTTGGGTTTTGTGTTTGGGCAACCAATTAAAACGGGAATGCTTTTAAGCAAGTGGCGACCAATTGAAAGGGGAGTGCTTATGTTTTTTTAGTAAAGCAACTGACAGTTTATTTTCTGGAGGAGGCTGGGGGCTTGCAACTAATGTGGTCCCCCTAAAGAATGCCATTGTTGTGGTTCAGTGGAGTCTGTGAGGGGTACCCTTGTCCTGATTGTTTTTTTCATGTTTTAAACACGGTTTAATAAAGAGTTTGCAGTTTCAGGGCTGGGGATGGTTTTCAAGTTCAGAGGTTGGGGAAGGTTTTTTATTAATTAGAAATGATTTGTGGATATTTTTTGATTTTTCCCCCGGGCAAAACAACTTTCAGTTATTCTGGTACCCCCAAACAATGACAGCAAACCAGAATAAGGAAAAACTTTGAGTTGTTCCAGTGCCCCTGATTACCTGAAAGATCCTTTGAGTCTAAAAATAGCCTCGGATGCGATTTAGAGTCCTACAAGAATTTAGACTCGAAATGAGTCTAAATAAGGCGAGGCTAAATTTATGTTGAAACATTATTTAGCCTCAAATTAGCTTCAATTTAGTCTCAATTTTATGTCAATTGTCCATAGATTTTTGCTTGGAACCAACACTGCCAACTATTCGTTACTGCAAGGGAATCCGCACAAGCGCGCGCAAAAAAATGTATAAGTACAAGAGGGAAGCTTCGCAAAACCCACGGGCGGCCGGCAGCACAAGCGTTGGAAATGCTGGGCATGCCCGCAATACAAGTCCACATTTGCTATATGATCTGCGCACAATGCAAGTGGGAAGCAAACAGATGTTTCACACGTGGGCCGCCCACAATTCAAAACTGGCACGTGATGCAACCCTGTAAACGCCGGCTCCGCACAGTACAAGCGTCCAGCGCATTTCTTTTTATATACATGAGTGGCCGGTCGTACAAGCGGCGGTGGCTGTGCCACTATGAATAGTGTACATGCGGTGGGGGAGCTTATATAGCGACTCCGCAGCAGAAGTGCTGTGACGTGCACAAGCGGCAACATACAAGGCTTTCCACGGTATACAACTGTGAGTGTGGGCAGGTGCAGTACAAGCGTCCAGCGCATTTCTTTTTATATACATGAGTGGCCGGTCGTACAAGCGGCGGTGGCTGTGCCACTATGAATATAGTGTACATGCGGTGGGGGAGCTTATATAGCGACTCCGCAGCAGAAGTGCTGTGACGTGCACAGGCGGCAACATACAAGGCTTTCCACGGTATACAACTGTGAGTGTGGGCAGGTGCAACTGGCAGCCCAAAACTGTGAAGGCGCAGAGGACAAATGCAACACGAGCACAAAGCCCTTCAATTTTGCAGCTGCAGCAGGTTTGACAAAAAAGGCAGACTGGCCATCCTGTACCTTTTAGCGGCCTTCAAGGCGACGCGGCCCGTCAGCAGCAGACCACATATAGTGGCAAGCCAGCCCATATTACTTTTCTGCCGCCTTCAAGGTGGCAGATACGTCCGTCCGGCCGCTCACACAGCTGCTAATCAAGGTGGAAATGCGGCCCATGAGGTCCTCACCTCGCCAGCACCAGGCCAAATGGGGATGAAGTTTGTCAGCCCATAGCGCGCTGTGAAGGCAATAGTGCAGCTTGGCTGACATATTGAACACCCGGACCTCCTGTGCAGCATAGGATTCTGAGAGCTGCACGTACAGCTGACCCAGCAGTCGTTGTTTGCGCACCAACTCTGCTGCATTCGGTCGGCAGGCGAATGCGAGTCCAAGATTTCATCGCATTGCAGGCTGAGTTCCAGCAACAGCTTGATACGGATACCGTCCCGGGTGTGCAAGTCCCCATAGCGCTTCCACATCGCTATCATTGCGTCTCCCAATCCCCGAATTTGACCGGCTTTGCCGCGAAGCTTTGGAAAGTCTCGCTTCTTCACAAACATTGTCAGTTTGCGCAGCGTCCTGGCAGGGTAGCGCTCGCCATGTTGTGGGCGGTGGCGGTTCTGGAAGCTCATGATGAAGTTGGCGAGGGTCCTGAGGTTTTGCAATGGCGCGGCTGCCATGTGAACGAAACAGAGAAGCCAGAAGACGCTGCCGAACAGGTACTGCGCATACCCCAAATATTTGTTGTGCATATAATCGGGGAGCGCCGCGATGCTGGTAAACCCGGGCATCTCAAAAAGAGGACAGGTGGAACGAATCGGCCTGCGAGCCCACGTCTCGGGTGTCCATTGGGTTCCTTCCCAGGGCGCGTTCTCTGAAAAATTCAGCCAAGTGAGAGGGCCTCGAAAGGTGGCACGGCAAAGTCCACAGGGCTCACTATGGGAGCTCCATCGTGGATGTCCCAGGAATTTCGCGCAATAATCTAAATCGCCGCATAAGTCTATAAGGCATGCAAAATAGCCGTCAGCAAGAGGCTCGCCGGCCCGACTCGCATCCGCAGAGCCAGCCTCATAGGCAACTCCCCGCCAATCCCGCCTGGGCCAGGTCCCTGCAAAAAGGGCAGAAAAGCTCCACTTCATGATGCGCATAAAAACGGCCACTGTCCCATCAGGCCCCTCAACCGCACATTGCGGAGCGTGCGCCCAAATCAAGTTCATTGCCTGAAGGGTCGGCACGCCGACGGCCATGACGGAGAACCAGGACAGCAGCAGCGAAAGCTTGCACCACACCTTCCCCCGGCCAACCGTTGGGACGGACTTCATCCCCGTGCAGCGCAATCGGCACGCACCTGGCCTCAAAATTGGCCCCTCGCAGGATTGGATGATTGGCAAGCTGCGGCATGCGCTTTCCAGTGGTCCAGAACTCC